TCTGAGCGAGGCGGGTCGCTCTCAGAGTCCCCCTTTTTTTCTTCGTTTTTAGGGAAGAAAGCTCGGACTTTTGACCTGGAAGCCATGTTTGAACAAACGAGAAGAACCGCCGTGGAAAGGAGCAGGAAAATCTTGGGTAAGTAGCGTGGCCGTTGTCAGCTAACGCTTTTTAAAATGTACTTTGTCGTGCTGGGTTGGGGTGAGGCTTTAAGTGCTTTATATTGCTTTTTTTTCCCCTCTCTATTTATTTATTTATTTATTTATTTTTTGGAAAAGTAGGTTTGTTCTAGGAAGACAACGTGAAGCAGTTTTGGGCTTGGTAAAGAAAAAAAAAAACAACAAGTTATTGATTTGCATATGTTATAGGAGTGTATAAGAGCCGTGCAAGGTTTTGCTTGTGAGGCATAGCCAGCAGACGCAGAAGGAAAGGTGGGATTTGAATACAAGCTTCTTTCCTTCGTTCCTTCCTTATTTTAGTTAGTTGTATATTTATTCTGGAAGGGAGCTGGTACAGGTGACTTTAATCTAGAGGGAACAGAATAAAAAAGAAGAAACCAGCCAATGCCTTTTGCCTCTTACAGAGCAGGTGTTGTGGCTCCCCCCAAATCAGACTTCACCCCTTGCTGTACTGGGATGGATAAGTTTTCAAGTTGGCAGTTTGGGAGAGGAAGATGGAGAGAATTGTATGTTTTGTTTCTGATATCCAACCAAACACAGTTCTCGAGAGGACACAAAGTCGTATATGTCTTGGAGACACAAAGTCATATATGTTCTAGAGTTCTTGTTGCCAACCCAAATGTCCACAGTTTCTCCCTCCACTTGTACAGCGTGTATGGAATACACTTCCCCCCCTCCCCACGTGATGCTATCATTGTTGAGCAGCTTCTGTTCCGCTAGGTGAGGCTTAATTCAGTCTCTAAAATGTTGCAGTTTGTGAAGATAGACTTTAAAGCCCGTTATCATGGAGACAGCAATACTTCATGAAAGAGTGAGATTATTGCAATGTTAATTATTTCCCTTGTCTTAATTCTGTGCAGAACTGTACAAGCGGACCCCTGTGGAGGCTTATTGATTTTATGGACTTTATAGTACTGTGAAATTCATTTATGTAGGGGATCCCAAAATATGATTTTCATACTTTTCTCCTACTGGCTAAATCTAAACACGCCAAAAATTCTTCCATGTTCAGAACCTTTTTGTTTGATAACTGATCCAGCTTGTGTTATCCTTATGCCTTTCGAGGGATCAGCTGATTACCTGATATTTTAGTTTAAGGTGGAAATCCTGTAAACAGTTGGATTGTTAAACAATCAAATTGTTGGACTGATGATTGGTTGACTGATTAATAGACAATCACAACAAGTGATTTAATCTTTTGCAGAGCTTTTTGGATTGCTGCATTTTGAATTTTTTTGTTTGTTTGTTGAACTTGACTTTTTGAAACCAAAGAAATGTTCTTGGCTCTTTGCTGTAATGGAAACACAGAGCATGTTTATTGTTGATTATGAGATCAGTTATTTTTCCAAAGATGACAAAATTTTGTATTTAATTCAGCTGTTTATCGTAAAAACAAATTTTGCCATTTATAATGTAGCACTTGCAAAGATGTAGAAACACTTTATATCTTGGACTTCTCCATCTCGTCTGCTACCCAAATTACAAATAAGAAGTGAGATCAAGTATGTTTCCTGGTTCTGTATCTTGCAGATGTTTGTGTGTCTCTTCAGAGGAAAGTGCTTTTGTGTTGTACAGCAAGGCGTGGTTTTTAGCTGATAGTTTAAGAGATAGAGAATTGTTGCTAACTATGTGAGAAAGCAGACAAGAAAGCACATTTCTTGTATGTGGAGAAGATGAAAGTGTAATTTTTCTCTGCTTAACAAGTGTCATTTGAATATTTTAAGAGAGATAGTAGTTGTATTTGTTCCCTTGTCACAATTTCACCATGCTATATAAGATTCTTAGTGATACTTTTAAATGGGAGATTCTTTTTTTTGTTGATTGCGCTGTTTCACGGGGTTGTTTTCAGTAAGTGAAATGGAAATAAATATAAAGAGTTGTGAAAATGCATTTTTCATATATCATATGTTTAGAATTCATTTATTTGCATTTACTTACAATTATATACTAATTTAGTTCCCTGTGCTATGCAAATTTCAAGAACTGTGTGAAGTAGTTATTTACTATCATACTATTGTTGTTGAACATACCTCAGTATTAGTTGAATGATCAACTTATTTATGTTTGATAGTCTATGCAAACTAACGACTGAAAGGTAGGTGCTTGCGTTTTCTCCGAGATATCTTGTTTTGCTGAGTGATCATTACGGTAGCAGTGAACATCTGATAATGCTTTACTTGCTCTTACCTTTTCAAACATTTCATCTAGGTCTGAAAATGAAAAAAGGTGTTTTACTGTTCTCAGACCTCAAATTTTATTATTTTCTAGAAGTCTTAATTATTTGTCATTCACTTGCTCTCTCCATATTCAGAAGCTCGTGAAAGAGAGAAGGAAGACCAGGCTGAAAAAGAACTTAGATGTCCTCACACTGATTCACCAGCTTCAGGCTCAAGTGCGATAGGAGCTGGGTCCGCATTAACTCCGAGGTACTTAGATATGGTGGAAGATCATTCCATCTGACAGCTTCCTTATCTGAAGGGCTTGGGTTATCTTTCTGCTTTTTTTGTAGAGCATGAGTATCATTTAACTTATGTAAACATGTCCATGTTATCTGAAGTCTTTCAATGGAAAAAATGATTTATTTGATCTGTTTTTTCTGAAGCACGTATCAGTATTTACAAATGTTAATATTATATCTAGTCAGTAGATAATTTTGTAGTCTCCTCCCTGATCCTGTTTGGCATATTTGCTTTTTTTTAAAACAACAACGTTATTTTCCTCTGCATTTTTGGAAAATATTAGGGCAAATATAATGACTGTATTTCCTGACTTAAACAATGAGTAGCTGTTGTTCCCGCCCATTATGCGTGCTGAAAAATAAAGCAAAGTACATATAGAGATTCCGTGTGCACATTATATGGAGTGGTGATCAGGTAGAGAAGGTATTTTGATTTGAGTTCAGCCTGAAATTTACTCTAAAACTTGTCCAAGGTTGCATCTGATTGATCCAACAATAAATGCTACTACTTTGAAGTTTATGTGAATTTTTAAATGCTGGGGAAAAAAAAGTAGCTGAATAATACATACTACAAGTTGCATCACTCCTTTGTGTGCCAGGTAGTGCAAAGATCAGTGCGCTGTAAATTTTTAGGTGGTTGTATAAGTAGGTGGTTGTATACTATGGTAATCTTATAACTCGTGAAGATTCTAATAGACCTATAGCTATCTGGTAGGCTGACAGAGGCTGTGTGTGGTAGGTTGTGAAAGACAAATGGCTTGTAGTGTTTCAGACTGAGAACAAAATTCTATTTCAGAATTTCTTTTTTGACTGTTACTCAAATAAACTGTGGACTTCCACTTGAGTAACTGACTGCAGAATGTACTATAGTATAGGTTCTGTGTTATATTCTATGCATAAAGGAAAAATATTCGGTGCTCCCATTTTGGTGATCTGAGATACCTTTCTGGTGAAATCATGGAAGATGACAAGAATTTAAATGTAATGTGATTGTATACTGCATTTGGGGATTTCAGTTTAAGAAATCAGTTAAAAACAAATGGTAAGGTGGAAAGTAACCAGGTGATCCAGAGCTTTCCGCAAATCTTCTCATGTACGTCAAGGACTAGAGAGAAGAGAACTCTAGACACTTTGTATACTCCTCTGAGTATTCTGAGTTATCGGGTAGGCTCTGGTAACTCGCCAGAGTTCTGTTGATATTAAGGTTGTTTTGCTTTGTTTTGTTTTTACTGAGGATTGAGAAGAGAGGCCGTGATGTGAAGAGCTGGTGGAACTGGAAGCTGAACAGATGTCAGCTTACAGTTTTGTATCTCCTTGTAAGCTGTGTTGTGTAGTTTAGAACTTAGTGCTGAAAACAACAGGAAGCAAGTGAGGGAGACGTGCCGTTGTGATTCAGCCTAAATTCAAAGCAATATTCCTAAAACTGATATTTGAAGTTTGCAATATAGGACTTGGTAAAGTATAAAAGTTATACTAACAGCACTTCTTTTTACCATGTGGATCTTAGTAGTTATATGCTGCTACAAAATAACCAGCTTGTTCTATTGTCCAAAAATGGCAACATTTTTCTGAATATTATTTTAAAATACAATTAGATTAAATGGTCATACTAGGCCCCATACAGATTTTTTTACCTGGCAAAAAGGACTTGGTCATTCCAGAAAGACATGAAGAACAGCTATTGATTCTTGTTACTTTTGAACTCAGTTGCTACAGAGAGATTTTTATAGTTTAATAGAGAGATATTAATAGTTTAATAGTTTATAGTATAAATACAATAATAATTATGCTCATGAAATGAAAACACGTACTAGAGTCTAAAAAGAAAAAGTCTGAAAAAATAGTGTGTGTGATGTGAGGAGAGTGAACATCTAGGGGGGGATATGCTCATGCTTGCCCAGCGCTCAGAATATTTTTCGTTGTTTCTGCTCTCAGGGTGCCATCTAGGCTCTAATGTAGCTTTCTTTTTTTCCTCTTATGATATTTCTCTTATTCCGGAGGTAATCAGGGAGAGCGGGAAACTTAATTCCTTCCACCTCTCTAAATCCTGGGGGAGGGGCCGCCAAATTGGTTCTTCTTTCTCTACAGCTTCTGGATCAGGGAGGCTACAAAGCTGAAAGTTGACAGCAACACTGCTCCGTGTCTGCTTTGTTCTTTTGTCCTTCTTTTGTCTGGTTGTAGTCAGAAGGCCCTTCTCAGCTAGATGGGCTTTTTGTATAGCTCCATTTGGATGTTCCTAAGTTTATCTTCCTTTCCAGTCAGGACAGAGGATACCAATAGCTGTAGCTGGAGTACTTGGCTGTCTCTGGCAAAGCTTGGAGTGTGGTGAAAAACATCACTGGAATTCTGACCCTTTCGCATGCTGAATGGTTACACTTCCCTGCAATATGCTGAACTGTTTGAATTGATTTATTTGTCCTCCCTAGCAAATGAGAGAATAATAAGGATAGGCAATTGGGAAGAAAGCTAGGTGTTGTTCTTGGGCATCTGTGGGAAAATCTGAAAATGTGGGAAACCAGGATTGGAAGGGCCTCTTTGAATCATTGTGTAACGTACACTATATTCACTAGCAGCTATGTTATATGTTTGGTTCCATTCCAAAACTAGTTAAAATGGCTTGCCTTTTGGGGAAAAGATATGTGGTTTGCTGGTCTGGGAATGCATATCAACTCTAAGAAAACTTTTGCACATTCTATAGGAAAACTTAATTTTACTGTAGCTAACTTGAAGAGCTCTGATGGACCCAAATCCTCCTCAGGTGTTGGAAAAGCTTCCCTTCAATAGAAGGCTATTGATTGCCCCGTTATTGTAAAGTAAGAGGAGCTTATTTTATTTGAGTTACATTTATTAGACAGGCGTATCCTGACCTAGATCTTTAAATGTCTCTCATCGCTATTCAAAACAACGTTTGTATGTGGAGGCAGTATCTTTTATTAGGCTAGTAAATATAGTTGGAAAAATCAGTCAAGCTTTCAGGTATGCAAGCCCTTCTTATCACTGTAACATCTGAGGACCTAATTCACATTGTTTGTAGTTTGTTTTGATTTCTTCCTAAAATAGAATTCTAATTTACTCATCCAAGACAGATGTTTGCTGTATAACCTATTCGCTGCTTGATGTACAGCTCTCTTAGGAGGTACACATTCTCTTGACACAGTTACGTGGTTTCGAACCTCTTTCTCTAATGCTTTATCATGTTCTTGAACTTGTATGCTTTTATTACTGTTTTTAAGTGATAACCTAAACTTAAAAAAAATCCCTCTGTAGTCTTTTTTTCTTTTCATTGTTAAACTGTCTTGTAGTCTGCCTGCTTGTAAATCATATACATACTCCTAAAATATTAGCTCACAAAGGACTACCTTGCAATGTCTGTTATCTCATGGAATCTGAAAGGAACAGCTGATGTCCGCTGCAAGGTATCGCTGTAATGATACACTGTAACTTAAGCTTACTGCAAGAAAAGGCTCTTAAACTCTCTTGAAAGTGATGTTTTAAAAATTGAGTTTTTTGCTTACCACTTTCAGACATTCTGCCTCCTGTTAGAATACTACCTACTTGATAACTACCAGCAGAGGGAGCACATTTACTTTGAATGAGCTGAATGAGTGTGGATTAAATAGTTTTACTTTTCAGAAATTTCCTAATGTGAAAAATGTGTTCATGTTCTTGAAATAGCAATTTTTAAAATTTTTCCATGCAGAGACACAGCCTGTAGTGAAAGTGAAGACAGCTCAGATGAAGAGTTAACTGGTCCATTTGTGCAATCCCAGACTTCAGCTCAAGGTCAGATTGAGAATACTGATGAGGAGGAGGAGGAGGATGAGGAAGAATTCATTGGGCCACCACTTCCACCTGGGTTCAAGGACAGTGATGATGATCATGATGACGATGATATACAGGAGGAAGATAATGTAAGTATTTTATTCTTCTTTAATGTTTAAACACTTTAAATAGACTCTTATTTTTAAGTATCCTCTTTCTTTTATGATTGAATTTGTGGGTGAAGTGTATGACTTGTTTGAAATGTAGATTTCATGCGTTTTTTCTAATGACTATTAAACAAAGACAAAATTCTTTTAAAAAAATCTGGATTTTTTAGAAACACATGCATGTGAATCTCTGATGATGAATTTCGCTTGTATACTTTAACTTTACTCTTGTTTCCACATTATGAAGAACTAAGAACAATGAAGTGAAGTTTTTTGGTTTTTAGTTTTTTATCTGAAAACACGCATCTCCAACAGATAATCGGAATAATGGTTACTATCCTGAAAAGTAGTTATATTTATTGATATTGAGGGAGATGCTTAATTTTGATCAGTTTTGGATCTCAATAGTTTTCAATCTATTTCAAGATCCAGAGTTTGAGAGTGTACTCGGACTTTGGTGAACCCAGATGCTTGTCATTAAAAAAAAAAAAAAACAAAAAAAACCCAACAATGAATTTACACAAAATAGACACTTTTTACATTTGTTCTTCTAATAGCTGGTAACTTTGTCTATGCACTAGGAAGTGGTAAATCTCAACAAATGTATGCCTGTTCTGCACGGGTGTTCTTTCTTTGGGGCCTCCTCAGAATGCCCTCCTAAATCACAGCTCTCCCAAGATGTCCCCATTTCTCTTCTTAGAAAAAACAATTTTCTGCTCTGTTGTCAGCACTTCTGTAGCTTGAAACTGCCTTATAGCACTGAAATATTGAAGCCACACAGAGAGAAACAACCAGGCTTGTGAATCAAGTCCTGCAAGTATCTTTAATCTATGGGAGAGTAAAAGATGCTCAAAGGATTTCAATGTATACTGCACTAAAACAGTGTCAACTTGAAATCATGTTATATCCTGGCAACTAAACCCAGATTTAAACCTCGTGACTGCTAATATTTTCACAGACATGTCACACTCAACTGTGCATCAGAAATGTCTTCTAGTTACTCATCCTGATCTCTTCTACACAGACTTTTTCTTAATTGCTTATGTCTGTGCTACTTCCCTGCCTACTCTCTTTTTATTTTCTTATAAGACAAACTGAGATTTGAACACGGCAGAACTATAAGCAAAAGTTATCTTTTAAAAAAAAAAAAAAAAAGTGACACACCTATGGAAGAAGACTGGCTAATTAATGTTTCACGTTCTGGAATGTATAGCTCTCTTGTCAGGATCTTAAAAAAATTAAACTGACTTCTCAACTGAGTATCTCTAGATTGCTCTTCCTAATAGTTGAGGACTTGTTGCACATATTGGAAAATCATAGGGAATTTTGTTTAAAAAAAAAAAATCTTTTCAGAATAGCTGCAATAATGGTGGTTCTTCATATATACCTAAATTTTTCTTGTAATTCATGCCAGAAATTACTAGGATTTTCTTTCTCAAAAGAGAATTAATACCAGTAGATTATGGATTGACCATAATTATGTTGTAAGCTTGGATGAAAATTTGGGAAAACTCTGCCTCCTTGGTCTGGTAGAGGTGTCACTTTCTGCCATTAGCAGAAAGCATCATATATTTTACCCTGCATAATTTAATTCTGAAATAAAATAAATATATACACTTTAAATGAAGTGTGGTGGCAGTGGTCTTGCCTACGTGTACTGAACAGTCTTTTGGACAATACGAAGGCTCTAGTCCTGCTCTGCTGTTACATTTTGACTTATATTTTATGTGGAAAAGCATTATTACATTTGTGGAACCTGGGAATAAATAACTTTCTTTTTTTTCCCCCCATGAAAATCACCTAGTGTATACTAGAGAAAAAAACATGAAGCATCTTGTGAATTCTGACTAAGCAGGTCACCTCGGTTTTACCACTGATCTTAGTCTTTGTCATTGTTGTGATGAAATAGGATTATAATAAACTCTGTTAACAGTACTGTGGTAGCCATCCATATAGCAGAATTGTTTGGCAACATCAAAGAAAATGTTACCACACTGGTCGAGTAAGCTGTAATGGAAATACACTAAATATTAAAGATCTGTTTTATTGCATCATTAGCGGAAGGCTGTCATCCTTTGACAGCTCTTTTGTAAGTAGAGTAATTTTATTGGGTTCCCATGAATCAACAGTTCTGTATATACTACTCTTCCAGTCTGTGGTATGTTCAGGTCTTTAATCTCAGTAGTGAATGCTGTATGGATTCCTAGATGTAATCATGTTCAAACTACAGATTAGTGCCAAGTTGTAGCAGGCTCCTTCATTCATTTATAATTATGGAAGAAACTAGATCTTTTAGGAAAAACTAACTAAATGCTGAGCACTCATTTAGGCAGGGTGGCAGAGAGGGAAAGCGGTAGTATTCAATAACTGAGAAATTACATGAAGATGTATAAAATCTCATAAGTAGTAAACCTGTGAATCTTTTTAAAGCTAATAGGGATGTTTCGCAGAACAGGATAAGACTTTCAGGTAGTTTTTGAAGTGAGGAGTGGGTTATCAGCAATGAAATAGAAAACATCTGTTCCCTTTTAATCCCTCTGTGTTATAGTGTGCTGTGTACCTGTTTTCTGTTGTCCCTGATCAAAGATGGCTGCATCTTAGTAGGTCTTTGTGCTTTGAAATCTCTAAAATGAATTCTACTATAAATATCTTTTAAAAAAGCCTGATTGTTACTTTAACTTAGTATCTCGCGCGCTGTTGAGAGAGAGATTTTTTTTTTTTCAGAATTGCTTGTATAACTGTTAGATTTATGGATTCTGAGCACTGAACATAATTTATTTTCATTTTCCATCTCTAAAGGGCAGTAGGCACCTTGCTTTGTGTAACTCTTGTTTTAGTTCTGTAAATTTCTTGAAAATGCCAAAGGGAAAACAGTGCAGAACCAACTGATGTAATTCAGCAGTTTTTCTTAACAGTCACTTTGTTTGCTTGTTGACTTTTGATTTCTAGCAACATTAAGGTATAGATGCTCTGTATTGATTTATGCATTTGAATAATGCTACAACTGGCTTGAAAAAGTGTAGTTACTGGGAGCCAGAGTTAAAAGACACATAATAAAAAGCTAATCAGATAGAAAGGTAACATGCAGACTGGTGTGATTTAAGTTTGTCTGAATTTAAGACAATAGTTACAAAACAGTCTAGAACAGATTTGGTTGAGAATAAGCAGAGCAGCAGAAATATGAGACTTGTGGGTTTTCAGTCTAAACAGTTAATTTATAACTGGGAAGATTTTGTGTCAGCATGGATGCCAGAGGCCTTTGGGGTCTAGAGCCTCCCCTTACTGCTGCTCGTGAACTCAGTCCTTTTCTTTCCTGTGAAGGGAATAAGGAAACAGCTGTGCTTTCCTGATTTCCTGTTGATCGATTGGTGATCACAGGAAGATCCTGTGAGTCCCAAGAAAAGCAGGTGTTGATGTTATGAGAACTCTGATTCCTTTCTCTTGATTGTACATCAGGCTGTGGTTAGTAGGCATGGGGGCAGAAGTGGGAGAGAAGAAATGAAAAACTCCAATGAATAATTGTTTTGATTTTTTTTTTTTTCCCCCAGATGGATTATGAGACTGTCCCTCTTTTGTTATCATACTTTTATGCTGATGTAACTTATTTAAAACACAAGCATTTATATTTTTGACCCTGAAGGAAACAAGTTTTTCTTTAATAGTTGCGTGCGTTGCACTTCTGTAGCCTGAAGTCTTTTAGGCTTTGTGTAACAGATAACATGCATCAAAATACTGGCTTCACCCTAGTAGCTTGCCACTGTTTCGTGAGACTTTCTTTAGATGTGATTTTTTTTTTAGTACAGGAACGTTTGTTGCTTTGCTTTCTTAAATGAGAGCATCAATAGCAGTATTTATCAAAATTAGTTCCTATGAGATGTATGTATTTCTTTTGAATCTAGGGATGTCCCAGAACGGTCCAACTTACATTGTGTATGCTCTGAATGATCGTCAGGTGGGAGTATTAACTAGTCGTTATTACCTTGGATTGGAATTTTTCATACCTTACTGATATTTTTATACGAAAATTAATAGTAGCAGTTAATTGCCGAACACTTTGCCTTGAAATGTTTTGAATCAGCACTGTTAGTTTTTAAATGTTACACATTTATGTAATTTGCAGATATTTGCATATAATCTGTACTGAATGTAAATTTCTGAGTTGAGCCATCTATATTGCATTACATATATGACCTCTAGCTTAGCTTACTTTTTACTGTAAATTTACAGAAGTTCATTTTATATATTCATCTCTTCATGGTAGCTGTTGTAATGTCTCTGATTAAAATCAAAGTTAGTACAGGTTGTAGTTATAGTCACAAATAAATGTTTAGATTTAATGACTTAATAATTCACCTCCATTCATTCCAGCAGTGGTGACTGTTAAAGCACAATATATGTTTGTACGTACTTACACAAATGTTTTACAAGGTTTCTTTGTAGTAGTGTAAGCGATGCTGCTGCATTGACTGTGATTTAAGTACATTAGGTACGATTGGTCTTGTGCCCCTCTGACATTTTCCTCATGTTACAGTTTTCTTTCAATATAAAAGATTTCTGTTAATTGTCAGACCGAGGAAGATGAGGCGTAGAGTTGCCTATTTGAAGTGCGATCAGTGCTTTTTTGTAGTGCTTTTTCTCCTCTTGGAGCAAAAAGCTTGGAGAGATTGTCAGTGCCTGTTTTTCACGTCATCGTATGTTGGGGGGGGGGGGGGGAAGCAGAGAGGGCCTTGTAGCTTGAAGG